AAAGTATTACATCGACGAAGATAAAAAAACTTACATTCGTACAACATTCATGTAACATCTTTAGTGTATAGTCACAAGTGAGTATTACAAGTGTACCAAAATTCATTTACCTTACGATTCTTTGTACTTGGTGTCATTATTATTTTATTGTTAGCGAGACGAGATCTGGAGGTGAAAGTGATAATCTCCACGGAAGGCCACCACAAGCAGGTTCACTGCGGTGGAATCATGTAGATGATCAATCTCCATTTGCAAATAAATGTGTGTACGTCCAAAGACGTCGACCATCGATCCCAGCATTCCCGGCATTCCAAACGTATGCAAATCGGCAAGTAGCCGTCATACCTAAGTACTGCAGTTCCAGGGCAGGATTTATGAGTGGAAGTACTCCTCCAGTCAGATCTGGAGGCTATTGTGGTGCTGCGATTCTCAGTTGAGGCTGAAAGGGACGAAATCGAGAACTTTCGGATACCACCGTTAAGTCCCGTCCCTGGTAAGTGGCTCACACTATTCGGAATTTAATGGACTATGTGGTGGAGCGGGTCAGCAAAATTCTTGAGAATTGCTGGACCCGGCTTTCCACTGTGCCCAGTACACTGACTATAGGAGGGGTACTCCTGTTGATCCGTGATCAGCTGAACTTCCTCACCTTGTGTACCCGTCGGTAGGGCAGGATCTTCCGGTAACTGCAGGAGAGGTCCAAGTGTTGAAGACCTTGAATGTCTTGGCGAGACGCAGGGATGTTGTTAACAGCGCAGAAAGTCTTCACTCTGTTGCCAGGTAAGTTGAGCCGCGGTCCACGTGAGTAATCGAACGCGGATCACTGAAGGAGGATCTTGAATCCGGCCGTGTAGGTGAGTCTCAGGTTACACGGCTACTGCAGGAGAGAGAGCATATTGGCGCCGAGATCCTGGATCTTCAGGAGCAGCACGACGTCGCCGATCGATCCCGGGATCTGACCACAGACCAACTCCAAGTGACGGAAGCGGTGTTACAACATACCTGCACGGCGCTTGATCACACGGAGTCGGAACTGATGCTCGCCAAGTGCGTCGCGGCAGTAATCTCGCCAGATCCACCAGCCTCAGATCTCCGTGATCTACTAGATCATTGATCCAAGGAGCAGGAGGATCTCCACAACTGGTTCCTTCAGGTATCTCAAGGGCGGAATCGTCTGAACGCTTGAGTTCAGACTCGGGATCGGAAAGCCGACGAACTTCGAGCTCAACTTAGAAAACGGTCCGAGGAAGTAGATCAAGAGAAGGCACGCTGCGAACTACTCCGCAAGAACCTCGAAGGTGCTGTCAAACGCCAGAAAGAGTATCGTGATGAATGTCGACAGCTAGGTGGGTGCCACATCTTGTATCCGCCCTAACTGAGCTGCTTCATTAACACCTCTCTTTCTTTTCAGAACACGACGTCACCGTTGCCAGGACCGCGTACGCAGACGCGGAGCGCACTATCACGGAGGGCAAGGCGCAGATCCTGTCGATAACTCGCCGTCTGGATGCCACAGATCGAACGTGCACAGAGCTGCGGCGTGAGCTGCGCGGTGCTCTGGAAATGTTGTCTACTGTTGCAGCGGGGATGGGAACGAGCCCTCCGACCACCAAGTTATGTCTGGATACATACTCAGATCCGAATCTTCTGATGTCTCCCCTGACGACCCTAAAGGGTCGGATCGGAACAGGAAGAGCTGGGTCATGGGCGATTAGATCAGGAGAAATCAGATCCATCGTTAATTGACCGAGATCCAGACTACACTCCGACGCCCAACGGGTCCAGCGACTCATCCTCCGATGCTCAGCGTCAAGATATCCCGCCGGGAAAGCGATACCGTGATGTTTCACCTTCTCAGGGCGCAGGTCGCCCGTCAAAACGTAAGGCTACCATCTCCGAGGATCACAAAAGAGACTTGGACCAAAATGAAAATCTAGAGGACTTCGAGATGGGTGGTGGTTCCGACGTCGATGGAGGGCTTGATCATGACCATGCTCCCTCGAGTAAATCTTCCCGAAAAGATGCTGAAGGTGCAAGTCCGTCCCCGCCTCGTGATCCTCTAGATCTGGCGCATGACCTGGATGGATCAGGGGATTCTGACGCCAATGACCAAGCGGATCCTACCTCTAAGCCAAGTTCCAAGTCCAGATCCTCTCACCCAAAGGGTGATCCCAAGTCTACCAAAGGGAGCAACCGCTCGAGACGCCGCCGACAACTTAGATCCCGACATCTCCCCCGAGAACTCAGCTGAAGGCGAGAATGACGAGGTATTAGGTGAGATGTTGCAGGCTCAGACCTTAATGGCCCTCTCACGGTCCATATCTGAGCGGCGCCGGCGGGATCATGCTTCCCCAAGACGTGACGCCTCAGGTGGAGCAGGAGATCCAGGCTCCTGGGATGACTCAGACGGCGATGGATCAAGTAGCGATGGCGGAGGTGGGGGTTCGCCCACCGATCCAGTTGGAGTACCACTCCGCAGTACTATGCTCCCTAGACCTCTGTTCGCCGCGGATCACGAGACATCCCAGGACGCCGACAGAGTCGTCTCTACAATATCGCAGACGTGGATTCGTGGGTGATCCAGAGGATCAACAACTTGACCATCATGACGATGACCGTCGAAGTGCTTTCTCGCTCGCTGCCATGTCACCCTGAGTGGATCTTCCCGGATAGCGTTCTTCGAACCACTGCACCTCGCAGGGATCAGTATTGTAGCGACTTGATCATCGCGCAGAACGTCCGTGATCTAATGGCGGTTCTCCATTGGAATGTGCTGGCTGGGCCAACGTCCCTCAGCCGATCTCGTTCGAGATCGCAGTCGATGACCGCTTAGATTTCCTGATCCAGCGATATTCCGCCGTCAAACTCCAGGATCTCATCACTTATTGGGAATCTACTCATCACTTCCCCGTTACACCAGGCCAGATCCGTGATGATACATACCTGGCGCAGCTTGTTGTGGAGAGGAAGAATCGTCGGGCACACGCGGGAGCTCGGAGGAAGCAGATCTTGGAACTCTTCCTGTTCACCATGCGTGAGGGTTGGTGTGACTTGGATCTGCTACTGGGTCCATTTTTTTACACTTCCCCAAGAGAACAGTCGACGTGGCTTGGTACCCAGGAATCGAGGCTTGCAGGGCTAACCTTGCGGATTCACAGCTTCACCGCCGCGAGCCGACCACCTTGATCGCGGCTCTCGCTAACTGCGACGCTGCCGATCCCTGGCACACTCACTATCGCCTACACCACGCTGAATATCCAGCTCGCCTAATTGCGCGCCTCGCGGGCCAATTCTTCAACATGGCAGCCTTAAACCCCAACGCGCCACCACTTCGCCCGCACCAGTGATCCTGACATCTCTCGATGCGTTTCCTTCGGATCATAGCTGATAACCGTAATACATATTACTTTCTTCTCCGATCTTGGCTCGTTGGTATTCTTTGATTCTGCTAAGTTTCCAATCATGTTGTCTCAAACAGATCTCCACCCCAACACCTCGACACTTGTCCTCTGTCACTTGATCCATAGTTGCCCAGATAATATAGTCATAGATCCACACTCGGCCTTCACTTTTTGTTCGCTCCCACATCCACCTCTGAATCCAACTTATTCGACATAGATCTTCAATCGGCACCTTGTCATATACAATGCTGCAACCTCCTTGCAGATCCATCAACCTTCAGCCACACCAATGGCCAGCTCATCAGTGTGGATCCAGATCTCACGATTCTTCATAAGACTGCATTACACCAAACCGGTTACGGTTGGTGCGGTCTCGCAGGAACTCATAACGCAAGGCGCCGCAGTAGAGATCGTCTTCATCTACCCAAGTCGGATCTTCATATCCACGCCAGTGTACCAGGAATTTTCAATAGGTCCGTCCATACCTTGTCCTTTTACCAGTCCTCATATCGGAAATTCGGTCTACTTCATATTCATCTGGGTCTCGATCTTTGGATCCAACTGTCTTCAGGTAAGAGAGCCTCATCGAAATCAACTCGATCTGCACTCGACTCCTCTAGGCGGACTACAGGTCGATCTGGAAAAATCCTGACTGGTTTGCTCTTCGAGACGTGTACCACCGGAAAGATGCTATACGTTGATCCGGCAATCTCCAACCTCATTGTATATTCCCCAATCTTCTCAGCGACACGAAATGGCCCATACCATAAATGCGCCAGTTTCTTAGCATATCTTTCACGCACTCGATCCAAGTACAACCAAACGCTTGATCCAGCCTCCACAGGATGTGGGCGTACCAGATCATTATATATGTCAGCTCGATCCGCGATTGCTTCGAGTAGACGTTGGTTAACCTGTTCTCAAGCTTGTTGGTAATACTTTTGCATCTGATATCGCCACCTTCTTGGATCTAGATCATGCCTGCGGGTGGCCCCCACCCGGATCACCGCTTCCAGAGTGGATCTAGGATCCCAACCGTGTATCATGTAGAAAGGGGTTTCACCCCGGATCCGAGCTCTTGCGGTGTTGATCGCGAAGGTGAGTCGTTTGGCATATTCATCCCAATCCCGTTGATCCAGATCCTGCACATACATCTTAAGACCCCTGGTGGTCGTCTGGACCATACGATCTGCGGATCCATTAGCGAGGAGTCGATAAGCCATAGTAGCACGTTGGCGTTGACCCAATATCTTGTTGAAAGACTTGAAGAAGTCAGACATGAAGCCTGGCTCTCGATCATGCCGGATCACTTCGCTCGCGCCAAACCTGCGGAAAATACATTCTTCGTAGGTCTCAGCGATCGTCTGTGCAGATCTAGAGGCGCTGGCCTTGACAATCACATATCCCGAGAATAGATCTACGAAGATCAACAACTCTATATTGCCATTGAAAGATCTTGGCAGCGAAGGAATGTGATTCATGGCAATGATCTGAAATGGGTATGTTGCCTGAAGGTTACCAGGTGACTCACCCTGGATCTAAGGCCGTCCTTTGCCTGTTTCACAATCGACACACTCTCCCACATATCGTTGTACACTCTTATACAGCCCTCTCCAGTGGAAGTGATCGCGGATCCAATCGTAGGTTCGACCGATTCCTTGATGACCACCTTGCATAGTGATGCAAAATATCTTGCCGAAGCGTCTCAGGCACCACCAAGCGCATCAACTTGTTTCGATCTGCGGCGGCCTCCTTAGTTGTCGGGTAGTAGAAGAGTAGATCCAACTGTCCCACGTCGTAATTCATGGCAATAGATCCAAACACCTTAGCATACTTTTGTGTCAGATCCCGGATCTTTCTGACCAAATACTTCTTCAGGCCAGAGATCCACTCCTCGTCCTGAGCCTGCCAGATCCGCTCGATCCGCAGCTCTCTCACAACTTGCTCACGCAGTGAATCTGGATCAGAACCCATGCGCACTCCAGATCTAGCCTTAGATCGGGTCGTTACGGCGGATATCTGTGCGATCTCGTCTTCGATCTTCACTACCAGGATCTCGTCCAACCGGTTAAAGGTCACTAGATCTTAGATATCCTTTTCAGACTCAACCTCGATCCCACATTGTCGTTGCAGAGCAGCACTTGCTAGGCTGTTCCAATCTCGTTTAGCATGCAACAGTTCGTGATCCGGCCAAATACGTAATCGATCCAGAGCCCTCTGGTGTAGCAGTGTCAAACCCGGTGCCTTACAATAGATCTCACCTCGTACTTGTCGGATCACCAAGTTCGAGTCTCCGCAGATCACCAGACGTCATGGATCCAGATCTTCCAACAGATCCCAACACAGCAGAAATCCATGATATTCTGCCTGTTAGACCTTTACGTAGCCGGAGCTATCCCTTAACACCATCCATTCAGGCAATTTCCAAAAGATCGCACTGTAGGCACCTCCACCTCTCTTGACACGGGCGGATCCATCGAAACTAACAGCGTATAGATCCTCGTCGCGTCCAATAGTGGGGATCGAAGCCTGGATCTTGCGCCGTGGTTCCTTCTTAGGGGCAATCGAGATCAATGCCTTGTCCACCTGTGATCTAGGCGTGATACTCGCCGCCAGTGCTCCCAAGATCTCATCTTCACCTTTGACACACTTGGTGATCTTGAGAGCCAGGGCTACAGTAAAGCCGGCCATTGACCTAAACGTCCCTACAAGGCTGTGGATCTTAAGAGCCACGCCAAAGAAGAGTATCGGGTCAACACATGGATCGGACGTCCGATCAAAGCGTTATAGTTAAGATCCAGGATCCCCAGCAAGGCCAGTACATCCTTCTCTGCGATGCCATAATTAAGCTCATTTGACTTCAAAGTACGGCTCGCAAACATCACAAGGTAGTAGATCTTGTTATATTCCTGCGGCAAAGATCCTGAGATGGCCCAGTCACTAACATACACCACAACCGTAGCTCTTCGATCTGAATCAAAGTGTCGTAAGATCGAAGTAGTGGCGATCTTGGACTTAAGCACACTGAAAGATCGATAGGCGTGGCTCCAACGTGGATCCACTCCAGTGAGATCTTGCGCCTCCGGATCCAGATGCTTTTGCTGGTCGATCGCTTGACCCTCCTGTGATCCTGGATCCACACACTCCACTTCTAGCACTTGTTGGATCCGTACTTGGCTGGTGTCCTTCATCATCGCGGCGAAGTCGATTTCTCGCAATTCATACAGAACTGACGCGTAGATCGTGTAGTCTTCGGTAAATCGGCTGTAGTAGTTCAGACTCCCCAAAAATGACTGCATGGCTTTAAGTGATCCTGCAAATGATAGATCAGTCAATGCCGACAGATCCTTCGGATTCGCCTCCAGCCCATTGTGGGAGACTTTATAACCCCGATATTCCACCTTAGGCATTCCCCAGAAACTCTTAACCACACTGATCGACAGATTCCACTTATCGCACGCTTCGAGTAAACTTTCAACTCGATCACATAATTGATCCCAGTTATTGGCTGGGATCAGGATATCGTCGATGTATGATGTACGCCCAAGCACCGATGGCTTGCCTGGATCTACCGTTCTCCGCCCTCAAACACGTCCAAAGTACTTCCATGACCTTCAGACTTCGGGATCCGGGTGAACCCATACAGCGCGTTATCGATCATACGTTGATAGACCTGGGGCGCATTCTTCAAGCCGAAAGGCATTTGATTCCACTCAAAAAGCCCAAAAGGAGTAATAAAAGCCGAGATCAAGCGAGCACGATCCGTCATTTTCACTACCCAAAATCAGCTCGCCATATCCAAACAACAGTAACAAAGTGTTGACTCCAGATCTTCAAGTAAGTCGTTGATCAAGAGATCATCAGCTGAGTTAGACTGTTAACCAACCGGTAACCTGATATCCACTCCGTTCTTCTTGATGATCATCACGATTGGGGAAGCCCACGGTGATCTAGAGTAATTGATCATCTTGGCAGATAATAGACCCTTGATCAAGTCTGCCAGCTTCTCCCTGAACTGGATCCGCAACTTATGACACTTCGGGGCGAGCAAGCTGTTACCCCACGTAGTGGACGCGGTCAGTCGTCGCCACGCGTGGACCCGGCGGCATCACGACGCCCACCGGCGTTGCTCGATGAGCACGGCCAGCACCATTACCTCTTGGAGAGGTTGCTGAAGCGCCGTCGGCATAAGGGTAAAACCCAGTACCTGGTTAAATGGTATGGGATGCTTCCATCCTGGGATATAAGACTCTACTTCGGCAAGATTGCCCTGACACCGTTGAAGCTTATGACCGGGAGCACCCAAAACGCCCGAAGGGCTCGAAGTTACGTCGCCAGACGTTGCACGCCTCCCAGCGTTAGAATGAATTGACGTAATGTCAAAAGCGTGCACGAGACGTCGATCGTTGCGCTCTAGCACGTGCTGTTGCTGCTCCCAGTGAGCGTTGGCGCGATGCCTGGGAGATGGCTGGAGAAGGTCATGGACCGTATCTTGACGAAGTTGAAGCGACGCTGACGTTCCAC